TTACCCATGCAGCCCTATATATCCTTGGTACAGGGCATGTGTGCGCTGAACAGGCACTGCTACCAAAAATCTCCAATCAAAGGTGCAGAAGCACATACACACCTGAAGTAGAGCACCCATGGGGACACTACTCAAATAACTTCATATACCAAGTAAGAGAAACTGCATCCTGTATCCTTGACTTGCTATTGGTTTGTGATGGATCATCTTGCACTCCAAAATGTAGGATTCCTTCACCTTCTTAGGAATCAGAATTTTACTGGGCTAGTGAGAAGGCAGCTTTGAAACCCTTTCCTACATATCTCCTAAAAGGGACAGGAATGAATTAGATCAGTTATTTTAGAAATCAGGTTTCTAGACAAAAGGGACATATCTCTTCTGATCTGCTGCACCTTAGTGCCTTGATCTAGGATGTCCCTGAATAGTCTGTTCCCTTTCACTAGAAGAGAGGGATCCTAAATTTGGCAGGCCAACAGTTGCTAGGTCATGGGTTCTTCTCTCAACCAGATGGCCTGTCATAGATGGGGTTGCTAATCTGACGGAGCCTTCCTTGTGCAGCATCATATCAGAAAGTGGACATTAGCATTCACTCATACACCAGATTGCAGAATACAGATCAGGACATAGGAGCCATGTCCTGCAGAGAGGGAATGCATTGAGGCTCTGTGTTGTTAATTAGACATTTTCCGAAGACACCCACCATCCTTTTTATCGAGGGCATTCTTAAAGGAGATAAAGACTTTCAATGGGGGAGGATTGGCTGGGGCCCCTTTAGGGGTGAGCCCCAGGGTGACTCCCATTTAGGGAGTTTATATAACCCATCTGTGGTGTTCAAATCATTGTATTTGCCATCTTGTTTCTCCCAGAAGGAATGCACTGGAGGACCCACTAGGGGTAGTCAGTTATTTTGTCAAAGTCCAAATTTCTTGGTCAAAGGTATTGTCAAGGTCCAGCCTCCAGAGAAAATAATAATAACCCCCCCCCCCAACAATAATAATAAGTAAATGAAAAGATTTCAGGGTCCATTCAAAAGCGTCTGGTGGTCCAGATTTGGCCCATGGTCTGCCTGTTGACTATCCCAGCTCCATCCTATGTGGCTTTTGTGTGCTTAGAGACTACTATAGAAAAAGCTAAGGTAGACAGAACTGGTCTTCCTCGGGCACACATGGCTAGGAAGGGGTTAAATAAAAGGGCTTTGACAGCTTGAGGCTCTCACTCACATTTCCCCCTTAGTATTTAGCTGCCTTAGATTCTGGGGCAGGAGAATGGCCCTTCCTCATAGTGCTTCTTTATATGATCCTCTTGAAAAAAAATATGCCTGAGGTTGAACTCCCCTTTGAGGGGAAAAAAAAAATCTCTTCAGATTCCTGGATCTGGAGACGCAGCTAGTTCTGGGGTGGGGCAAGGCTGCAGGCTTCACCCACTGGATAGGGGCGTCAGGGTAACAGCCACCCAAGTGAAAGCAAGATCATGTTATTTTCTCTGCTGGAGCAGATGTCCTGTAAAATTTCACTCCACAGACTGTCTAAGAGTCACTGATTCAGCAGAACTGCTCCTTGCTGCTTTTGGATCACCTTACTCAGGCACTTCTCCCCACTAGTAACCATTGCTTTGTTGTTCCTGTGAGGAAGACGGGGAGGCTGTGGAATACTTTGCCCCCTCTAACAAAGATAGGTCCTGCAACGGGGACAGAGCTATCCTACATTTGTGGCCACAGACCTGGTACCTTTTTACCTTTGGGCTGGACTCTGTTCTGCTGAAAGCCACAGCCTCACAGACCCAGCTGCTGCAACTGTCTTCTTGCTGAGATGAAGAGAGACAAGTAAGAGCATGTCTCAGCAGCTAAGGAGTTGGGGAGGGAAAGTACCAGGAAATGTGCTGAGCTGACTGCCTGGTCAAACTGAGAAGAGCTACCATCAAGCTCAACCTGGTGAGCTGAGGAAGATAGATACACGTACTCACAAGCAACTTACCAACTTGAAGCCAATGCATCATAGCTGAGGGCAGGTGGATAGGTGGAACCATCTTGGCCACTTAGAGCCTTACCATCCAGGGTTTCTCTGAGGAACTAAGACTTGTATTGTCATTAGCAGGGCACCTTGCTTCTTTCTTCCACCCCCTCCCCCAAAAATCCATACACGCCTGCCTCACCACACCCTCACTGTCCGCCTGCTTAGCTGCTCACTGCTCCTTGGGCACCAGTTCATCCTCCCTCATTGCACATACCCACTTTTATGCTAATTGCCTTAGCAGCCCGCGCTCCGACAATTGTATACAGTGCAATTGAATATGAGATGGTCTTAAACGTTTTTCATTTACACCTGTGCATGAGGCTGCATGTTGTAACTCAGAGCAGAATTTGGGCCTTCGTGTGTAAATTGGTTGAGGGATTTCTTAGAGCATGAGAGGGGACTAGCTTGATAACTTGTCTCCAGTCTGCTAGCATTCTGCCCTCTCTGCTGCTCCTGATGCTGAGGTATAACTGTGGGTCAGGAGGGCAAAGAAAGGATCAGAAAACTTGCTGCTGAAAGGTGGTGTTCTGTGTAAAGCAGACACAGCCCCTTCTACACATAGGGTTCTAATCTGAGTTTCCACAACCTGCTACTGACACAACTACTGTTTGGGATTTGCCCTGTGACAGGCATAATCTACTTTGCTGTGTAATCAGGAATCTTTCATCTCACATGAAGAGATGAGTTTCCTGATTCAGCTGTTTCACCCAGTCTTCCACCCTCACCCCCACCTCTAAGTTTGTCTCCCTATCCTCCCTTCTAAACAGTTGCTAATTAACTGCACATATAGTGCATCACACAACAGGTGGCACAGCATCTTGCTCTGTGATTGGTGGGTTGCACTGGATGGAACACAGGAATGAATTATCTAATGCTCAGGGCTGCTCTCAGATTTATAGTCATTATAGGAAGTACTGGGTGAAGTGGAGTGGGCCAAAAGAGAGGAAGGACACATTGGAAATGGAGTCTGTGGCTGCCCCAAGACTGTGACAGTCTGTGTAAGGGACTTACATATGAGTCAACAGAAGGAGAGGTGACATTATTTTTGAATTTTAAAAAGACTGAAAAGATGCTCACTTGCTGGGTTTAAACTTCCATGGTACTTTCCCCAAGATTTAGGGAAGAAGAATGTACAGTAACTCCTCACTTAAAGTCGTCACGCTTAACGTTATTTCATTGCTGATCAATTAGGGAACACACTCATTTAAAGTTGTGCAATGCTCCACTCAGGTTGTTTGGCTGCCTGCTTTCTCCACAGCTGGCAGCCTCTGGGCAGGAGGGAGGCGGGAGGAGCGACGACTCGGCGCATCTCCCCCCTCCCTCCCCTGCTTCTGCGTTTTGGAGACAGGAGGGAGGGGGAAGGAGTGCAGACTCAGCACGAGGCTCCTCCTCCCTCCCCTGCCTCCCCAAACTGGCATGCCAGCTGATTGCCCCGGGAGGGGAGAGGAGTGAGGACTTGGCACGTCTCCCCTATGTGGCAATCAGCTGGCTTGCGGCATTTAGAAGGGAGGGGAGGGAGGGGGGAGGAGCCAGGACGCAGCGAGCGAAGTAAAGGGGGAGGAGATGTGGTGGGAGAAGAGGCGGGTCAAGGATGGGGGTTTGGGGGAAGGAGTGGAGTGGGCGGGTTGAAGCCCCCGCCTCTGGAGTTTGCAGAGTAGGGGGAAGCTGCCCTGGAACCTAACCCCCCCCATTTACACTAATTCGTACAGGGAAATTGGATTTGCTTAACATCATTTCACTTAAAATCGTTTTTCAGGAACATAACTACAACGTTAAGTGAGGAGTTACTGTACTTCAAATCAGTGGTTTACCAACTGTGGGTCATGACCCAAAACTGGGTCGCGGAATGGAAGGGACTGGGTCGCGGTGGCTCTGGTCAGCACCACTAACTGGGCCATTAAAAGTCCGTCAGCAGTGCTGCCCAGCTAAGGCAGGCTAGTCCCTACCTGTTCCAACATTCCGCTGCGCCCCAGAAGCAGCCAGCAGCAGGTCCGGCTCCTAGGCAGGGGGGGCCATGGGACTCTGTGCGCTGCCCCCGCCCAGAGCACCAGTTCCGCACTCCCATTGGCTGGTTCCCCGGCCCTGACCCCCTCCCGCAACCCAACCCCAAGACCCCGCCCCAGCCCAGAGCCCCCTCCCACACTCTGAACCCCTCATTCCAGGGCCCACCCCGCTGCCCTCACCCCAACCCTCTGCCCCAGCCCTGAGCTGCTCCTACATCACCTAACCTCTCATCCCCAGCTCTGTTGGGTCACGGACATCAACAGTTTTCTTCAACTGGGTCGCCAGAAAAAAAGTTTGAAAACCATTGCTATAAATAACCCCAGACTCCTGCTAAATATTTTTTGGGTAAAAACCTCTCCTCTACAGAAAAATGCCTCCCATGTGTATGTAGAAATGCTGTGCACCATCCCGCCTCTGTGGGCAGGCAGCTGTTCACCTTTTGGTGTGTGTTAGGGGCCCCAGGACCCTGTATCCCAGTTTAGAGAGAGAGTTGTATGTATGAAGAGTCCTGGAACACTGCACCATAGGTCAGGGCCCAATCCTGCTCCTACTGAGTTAATAGTTTGGCCAGCATGGGAGAGAAAGGGTAAAATTCAAGGGAAGATAGGAGATCTCTCAGGAGAAGAGAGAGAATGAGAAGGACCAAGAGAAAGAAAAGCGTTAATTTAAGTTAGTGAACAGAGAAATATTCAGAAAAAAAAATATAGGAGGAGAGAAACTGGAGGGCAAGATAAAAGGATAATAAACTCTTGCCCATGTCTATTCACAGTAATAGATTAGCACAGTGCTGAAACCAACAGCTATTTTATATACCCAGAGAGAGTGGCATATCATGAACATTTTGTCTTACATTGCCTGGCTAAGAAATAGGAAGGTATTCCTCCATGCCCCTTTCAAACCCAGCTGGCAGAGTCCCCTCTCCTCACCTGCACCCATTTGTAGAGTGAGAGATTGAGATTCAACACAGAAATGAGACAAACAGACTCTTCTCAAACAGTTTAATAGCAAATAAACAAAGGAAGGTACCACACTTGGCATATACAAAATGACTTGTTGGTGTGTCTGTGCAATTAAAACAGCTTTAAGTTCCCCATCGGGACAAAAAGAAAAAAAAAAAAAACAACAACACACGAAGGAAGAAAATTCCTTTAACACATACTCGCTCGTTCCAAACTTGTAACAAATCTTTTCATTTTTAAATCCACTACACAAACTCCGCGATCAGATCAGAAAAGCAACATGTGCTCCTCTGCTTTTAAACCATTAAAGTAAAATCCATAATTTTCTACAGAGTACAACACAATTTCACACAAGAAGACATTTTGTTTTGCAAATCAAAACAAGAAAAGGAACAGCTCAAACAAGGTAAAGAAAAGCATTTCTACAACTGAATCACGACTCTGAGTTGATTAAATCCTGTTACTGCAGAACAGACTCTACATTTGGTCATAGTGGCAAATTGTTTTCTTGTCACATTGTGAATCACTTTACATTGTTTTCTAGTAGAAAAGGCAAAAAACTGTACAAAACCCCTAGTGTTAAATACGTTTGTACCAATAAAAAAGCCCACAGGTTTGTCTCCAAAATGTAAATTTTCTTTTTTAAATTATTCACAAAAAGCAGCCAAAAATCAGAAAGGCAGCTGCTGCTCCACTGTCTCAAATCCATTAAAACCACCACAGAACAATTAAAACAACCAAAGGGAGAAAAGGAAGGAAAGGAAAGGAACATCCAACGTTTGGCATTTTGGTTTTCTCCAGAGATTTTTCCACAGGTTTCCCCAGAGTTCCTCATGGAACTGAATGCACATTGTATAGAAATGTATTGGCAAAATTACTCAATACACTGCGGTGTCTCAGCGCCCCAACTGACAGACGGCCTGATGCATTCAGACTGTGGGGCTAACAGCAGTCATCTCACAATCCTATCTCAAAATGAATCTCCACCTTCTTTTCACACAGCCTCATCTCCCAAGTCCCAGATCTATAAATCACAGCCAAAAATAACATGTATTGAGAAGTAGTGAAATCCCCAGCCAACTCTGGGAGGGGAAAGAATAAATCGTCTTGTTCCCTTTTCACCACCCCAAGCACAGGGTAACCTACACAGCCAGGAGATCAGTCTCACATCCTTCCCACTTTCCAACCTCTCTCCCCCTAGGATTTTACCTCATATTCTTTTCCCACTCTGGGGTCCTTCACCAACTCACCTCCCTTAGTGACTAGGGTCTCCCCATAGCCATAGTCTTGCAGGTGCTTCCAAGTGCCAGTTTCTAGCCATGCAGTCTCACAGCAGATGGTTTTGTAGGACCAGGGGAAGCCAGCTGCCCTTAGAATAGTAGCCTGTACTGCAGGGCAGGAACAGAAACTGCTTGACTCTTTACCCAATTAAAGACTAAACAAAAACTTAAAAAAAAAAAAAAAAAATAACTCTATAGAGATTCCCCAGCTAAGGCCCCTGAGAGGAGAAGCTGGGGTTGGTACCCTGTTCAGGTAACAGCGTAAGAAGCTGTTGTATTGTGCTTGTCATTTGGGGTAAGAGCCAGCAGTTGCATGACCAGGCTTATGAAGGCCTTCTCTGGGATATTCTGAACACTCTACTGCCAGTGCTAACCTAGAGCCACTAAGCCACCCTCCACCATCTAAATAAATTTAAATAAATAACTGGGGCTGAACCTCACAAAAATTATGCCCCAAATTATATAAAATAAAATTTAAGAATGTATGAAGGGAGCCCCAGTTCCCTAGGATTTTAAAAGCAGATTTACTGCAACGATCCCTCACTTACCTGCTTCCCATCTACCCTGGTCTACCAAAACTCCTACAAAAACAATGCAACCAACCCTCCTCCTGGGAGCCTCTGATAGCTGTAGAGATGGAACAAGGCCCAGATGCTGTGTCAGGCAGACAGTCTAAGTGCACAGGTAGATGCCTCAGGTGACATCTGATCAGAAATTTGTCACACCAAAAAACACCAATTTAAAAGGATACCTTTGAAACCCAGTAAATTGCTCAGTTTTTGCACAAACTATAGAAAACAGAGAGGTGAAGGTGATATATTCGAGGGTGTGAAGAAAACAGCAGGAAACATGCACTATCTGAGTTTGGAAGAATAAAACTAAAACAATCACATTTTGCTGAAGAGATTGTAGTTACAAAAACAAAACAAAAACAAAACAAGCATGCTGGGGTTTAACAAAATACAACATCAACTTTGATCAAATTTTCACTGCAGACAAAGGCTGATAACTACACAGGAAAGGAAAAAACAGTAAGTGCCAGGGCAAAAATGCCGCTACAATCAGGAGAAAATATAGTTCAAGTGTTTTATGCTGATGCCACTCAAGTCAGAGTTTGAACTCATAAAAATACAAGCTATTTCCTCAAGCACAGAAACCATTTCAGCAAAATGTGACCAAAAGCCTCCTGAAAGGCTAAGTCGCATCATTCAATTGACTTTTTTCTTCAGATTTTTGTTTTTAAAACTAAGCACACAGAAAAAACTAAGCCGAGAAAGTGACTGGCTGTATGTTCACAGAAATACAAATACTCCACGCGGTATGCTAGCAAGGCTGCTCTGAAGACAATTACAAAGAGTCAGAATCACAAAATCAAGTGGTTATCTTACGAAGTTCTAGAAAAATAGAATTTTTTTTTATATTCAAATGCAAGTTTAAATATTCTCCTTCAGCAGTCTTTCTAGCAAAACCAATTTGGCAGCACACACACACAAAAAAAAAAAAATAAACCAAAACAAACCAAAAACAAAGAAAGAAACAAACGTAATAAAAATACACATCAGCATCAAAGGTCAACACAAGGTCAAAGGTGAGAGTTCAAGCATCAGAGAAGCTGAAGAGACAAGGATTTGGACGATGTACTTGAACGCCACATCGACATGCTTTAGGCACAACGATGAACAAACGGCAGGAATCTAGAAAAAAACAAACCAGAAAGAGGGAGACCCACTGAGTTACACAGAGCAGTACATCCAAACAAGGAGAGAGAGAACAGGAATGGGCACTGTACAATGAGACCTCTTGGGGAGGGGAGTTGACAGGGAGGGCAGCACATGCCAACGATGGACAAGTAAAAGTCAAAGTACATGGAGGACACCAAGTAAACATCAAAATGCCAGAAATAAAATGGAAGCAGAGGCCTGGATTTCCCTTTGGACACTGGTTTTGTGGGACTGCTGTGCATTCACCTTTGCCCCATGCTCAGTGTCCCTGCTAGCTCTGCTTGCGAGAAAGACAACAGAGCAAGCCCCACCCCAGGAGCCCACCTCCAAAGATACGGCTCCGGGATTAACACCCAACTCACAGAAATTCAGACAGCAAGAGACAGGACAGAGGACACGGGGGTAATTCACAGGTGATTTGACAGTTGAGACCTTTTTATGTCTTATCAAGGGAAATGCTTAGGTAGTGGTAGCCCAGGAAATCCATGCTCTTTGCTTCAGCTCCAGTCCCTTCCCATCCCTTAGGAACCCACAAAGTGGGAGGGTTGGTTGATTTTAGAACCAAATGAAAAGATTGTACAAGACAAATAAGCGGAACCAAAAACCCCACACAATAGAGAAGAATTCCTTAAGACTTGTCCTAGCTGAGCCCTTTTCACACTATTATACCTGGGCAGAAATTTTCCTTTCCCAACCCTTTCAATAGAAAGTCCCCTGCATTCTGATTTGCGAGAAGGGGATTCTGCGCACTGAGAAACTCTACAGTCACTGTTACCAGTTTGGAAAACTGGAAGATATATTGCCTGAACCTTTCTTGAGCAGAGTTTTCAGATCTGATGGGATCCCTACCAAGGGATGCTAACAGCTTTGCTGTCTTCTCGTGGCCACCAAACTGCAAAAGAGAGGGAGCCTTTTAGAGGGAACGTGGAAAGTAGAGGAGAAAGGGAGGTATCTTTTAGGATTCCACTTTACACCAGTTGTGGTGCCATGTCCTTCAGAGTCTCTCAAAACTGCTTAAGGGTTGCTGGTGAGTGATGTGAAGCTTTCAGTATCCCTATGAGTGAACCTGATGATTCCACAGCACTTGCAGCTAGCTCATGGAGCTCAAGGACCCTCCTCTGAATAATGGGACAACAAAAACATGTTGCCACAGGCTGGCTAGCACTGGTGGTTTGGGTTTTCTCCCCATGCTTACCCTTCCAGAGACAGAACTGAGCAAGGAGACTGAGTGAAACCTCAGCTAGCAAGAGACACTGCAACATTAAACATTATTTCTATAGTTCTAGCAGTTTTTTAGGTGCTTGGCAAACAACTACAAGGACCGGGTCTCTGCCGCGAAGAGCTTACAATCCAGAAAGGCAAAGTATCAGTGGAGAAACGGGGCATGGGAAAGAACAAAAGCTAAGGGTTCAAATGACATTTAGCAGACATCATAGGAATTCCTTGTGTGGTTTTGTCTTTTTTTTTTTGGTAGATATTTTCAGATGTCTTCTCTGTCAACAACTTTGAGGGAAAGACTAGGATTCATTAGAGGCCTTTTGGAAGAAGTGTCTAAAGGAGAGACTTGGATGAAAGACTGAAGAGGTGGCAGGTTGGGGCACATAATGACATAAGGAAAGGGAGACAGTTATTTCTGTGTCCTTGTTTCTCTCTCACATTTGTGGGTCGATAACATTATACTGAAATTTTTCTGCATTCTATATTTTATACTTTGTAACATTTCCGCTTAGTGATCCACAACATCCTTATATTTGTCTGTTTGCATAAGGAAAATCCAAATGTACACTGTGGGCATCTGCGCTCTTGATTTGTAATTTTTTAGCTATGACATTGCTCAGGTGAAATAGTTGTGTAAAAAGGTGTTTCACTGAGCTGTTTTTAGATTGCTGCTGATTATCTGTTTTATTTCAGGAGGAAGTCAATGGGTTCACAAGTATGCAGAATTCCCTCTCCCCTTCTATACAGCGATCAACAAATGGAATTGCCTGAATTAATTCTGCCTTGCAGGCAGGTAAGTTTCCAATATACATTTTACTGTCTAGGTTAAGGGCTTTTTATTTAAGGATTTAATTGCCTGGGTGGAATTTCCCATGGTGATAATTGTATTTTCCAGATAAATTTAACTTGTTTGATCTATTATCTCATCATTAAAACATAAAAGATATTTCCAAAAATTGTTTCGGACTCTTTTGGAAAGTTCTAAGCCTAAGCAAAATGAGGGTTGATATTAATTAATATTTATCAAAAGCATTTTCTAATAAATGCAAGCTCTGCATACTGGTAAGATAACTAAGCTGTAAAGAGACATCTAATTTTAGACTCTGTTATTTAGGTGCTGAAGAATCTAATCAGAGTAGGTTTGCTACAGCTGTAGATATTAAACAGTATCAGGCTAAGCCCAATCACAGCCTTACCTAATTCTTTGCTCTTAATATGGGATGCCAAGTAGAATCAAATGTCTTTTGAAAGTCGCAAAGCAGGCAAATACTTCCCCCTTGTTTCTATGAAGCAGATTGTTATTTACAAGGATCTGCAGAGTACACATGCAGTCTGGAGTTCTGTGGTTCAACAGAAATCATACTGGATTTTGTTGTAGAATCTCTTTGGAAAATCCAGATTCTTTAGATTAAGAGCATACAAAATACTTTGCCCATTTGGCTATTTAAGCAAATCTTTCTGTAGTTATTTGAACTGAGTCAACTCTTATGCTAATATCAATGTAACATTAAGACATTTCAGAGAAGTGCATAGATTATAACCAACCTAAATATTTTGCGATAGCGTCCAATATTTAAGTATTTCAGAATGGGTCAAGTCTGTCCCAAATAATTTTGCCAGTTTCAATTACGTAAATTTTTTTCTTCTCCCTTCCAGTCTCATCTTTAATAGTCTTTGGTAGCATACAGAGTTTTTCTTCTGGGGACAGTTTCTCATTTGGATTATTTCTAAAGAGTAGTTCAAAGTGATTTTACCAGATTTTTGTCACAATGGGCTGCTAATTCAGAGTCTGCTTTTATGTTTAGTCAATTTATTCCAATGGTCCCCAAAACAGCTGACTGATTTGATTTGCAATAGAATGAGAGCGATTAAAAAAATACAGGATTTCCTGCCAAAGAGCGAGGAAGAAAATTCTGTTCAAATCTGGAAGGAATGAAGGAAGAGGCAGAAATCCCTAGTCTGTAGCAGCTGCCACCAAGCAGAAATGAACACACTTATTTTATACAATCAGCTGCACTGGGCAGTAAAAAACCTCCAACAGTCAGAGACTTGATACATTTATTAACTTTGGCACTACATGCCTGGACACACCAATAGACTGAATGAAGCTGAAACAGACACACATTTAGGGTCCAATCTTTAGCTGGTATAAATTAGTGTAGCTCAATTAAATACAATGGAATTGCATCAATTCAGAGATGCTGGGGATCAGGCCCTTAGAATTTAACCTGCATAGATTTGCATTGGCAATACTTGCATTATAGTCATGCCAGTAAGGCACAAGAGCTAGCCCAGGTTAGGCTTCTAGTAAAGATAATCACACTATCTGGGAAGAGTCATAGGGCTAAATTCATCCCTGGCATAAGTGGGTGAATCATCCACTTAAATCAATGGAAGTTACACCTGTCTACATCAGGGCTGAGTTTGGTCAGTACAAGATGCAAAGGCTAAAGATACTAAATACAGAGCAACTGAAATGACTACTTAAAGGAACAGGCCCATGTTTGGGGTCAATGGAGCAAGGGTCTCAGCAGCATGTAGCGTACTATAAAAGAGTGACTGTAGAGACCACAGAGTACAGCTATCCCCTCCACTGATTCACAGTATTAATCCTTCCTCATTTAGCAGTTAGTCAGCCTGAAAACAGGCCACTGAAAATCAGTAGTTTCAATCATGCACATAATTGTATGTGTAAAACAATCACATTTAGGATTCTACAAAACCCTGGCCTTTTTTCCAGTGAAATAATTTAAGTAATAAATATTCTCCACCCTGGAGCGGTATAAAACTTCTATAAAAATAGAAACAACATTCTTGGTTACAGCAGGTCATGCTTGGAGCGGTTGCTCCCAATCATGATCTCTCTTCTTTTTTTTCTTTTCTTTTTTTTTTGCAAAGTATATTTATAAAATAATCCCATTATGACCTTAGAGGCCTTAACACTCCAACACTTTCTTCTCAGAAAACCAGGACACATCTCTCCCAGTGCACAGAATTCAAGTGTACACGGTTCGCCTAAGTGTATGTATGTATGTTTACAGAGAGACCCAAATAGTCAACATGAAAGGGTACCATATGCCAGCATAAATGGGAAATTTGGCAGTCTGTGCTTTTAACCTTTTTTCACCACAATATTCTCTGTATAATACTGACAATTTCTCCTACCCATCTGCCAGCACTACAGACAGGTTGGCACCAAAAAACTATTTGAGTTTCAAACTCATCAACAGAAAGGGCACTTTACCCTGGTGCTCTGATGCAATGGGTCAGGCCTGGTATTTGTGAGGTTTAAGAGTCCAGGGGACCCAGTCCCTGGATATGCCTGACTTTCCCCATGGACTGTAACAGAGTATCTGTAAACACAGGCACATTCTAAACAACATTTCAGGGGCTTATGGCTCCTCCTGCTAGAGTAGAGAAGGAAGTAAACACCCTGTGTCTGACCCCACATGCTTCCTACTTAGGAGCCAGCTCCCGAACACAGGATTGCAGTGTTACTTGGTGGGCTGAGGAAAAGCATCACCCCAAACTGGGAACACAAAGGAGAAGTGGAAATGGAGAAAATATGAGGTAAATGGAATCTCTATTAAAGATGTACAGAAACGGTAAACTTCCCGTGTGACAGAGGTGGATTTTGATGGTTAGAGCACTAGCATCTACTGTGACTCCTTGATGTGCTTCAGGCCAGAGTTTCAAAGGGGCTTTGAGCCTCCTAAAAATCAGTGTATACTAAGGCCGTGTAACACATTCTTTGCACATTTGTGAATTTGCCAATGTGTGTGTTCAAGAGGGGAGTGTCTGCTCTTCCTTCAACATATTGGGTGACAGCCACTGCCAAAGGCAGAATAAGACTGGGTGGTTCAAGGTCTGCTCTAGTACACTCACCACTTTAAAAGAAAACTGCAGTGTAAAAAATAAATCTTATTTCTATTCCAAATCACATCACAGAATTACTAGTGAGCAGGAAATTGCCTTTGGAAAAGAGTATGACTGCGGAAACAGCTCCCACTTGGATATGCAAGGCAGCAGAAACCTCAGAAGCTGTTGTAAAGTATGCTGTATTATTTGTTGTTAATTTAATAGTTTAACAATAAATAATTAGCATTTAGATTGTGCTTAGTATTAATTCAAAGACCTGTGAGATGGACATTACTGTCATTATAGAAATGGGAAAACTGAAGCACAGGGATGGGAAGAGATTTGACCAAGGTGACACAAAGTCTGTGGCAGATTTGGGATAAGAACTCAGGAGTTCCTGGCTTCCAGCCCCAAATTTATTCCTCCAGACTACAGTGCCTCTCTAAACCCTAGCAATATTCCCAGCTGATCAGTCAAGAATAAGATTTCCTAAACACTGGGAAATTCAATTAATATGTAACTCTAGATGGATTATGAGGTTTTCTGGGCAGGGACAGTGTCTAAAATTTTTTTATAAAGTGCGGTGTACATTCACAGTGCAACAATAAATACCACTTTATATAGCAAAATAATCACTGCAGTTTTCCTTTAACCCATTAACCTCTTTGCTCTTCTAGATTTTTCACCTGCTCTAGAGACAGATTCAGATAGGAAGTTCCCACAGAAGACATTTAACTAAGGAAATACGAGAGCAAGGGGCATGGCAAAGGCTACATGAGGTCTGCTCATTGCCCATCTCAAGGTGGTTCTCCCTCCCCGCCTTTCTTTTCCTCAGTGCTGTCTGGTGTCAGTTCTGCTCCTCCTTCTTCCCTCTGGTGTCATGTCAGTTCTGCTGCTCTTTCTACGCTCCCCCGCCTCCCCCACTAAAGTAGCTGGCATTGGTCCTTCTCAACACACTGGATACAAACACAGCAAACTTCAAATAAGGAAAAACAACAACAACAACAAAACACCTCAGTGATATGGCACCTAAAATCCAAAGTAAAATACTGGAAACAAAATCACAAACTTGTCCTCCATCCGAAGCAGAAATCCCAGCGGACGCTGCAGCTGAATCTTCAGGGGGAAGATGTGCCAGCTAGAATGGCATGGATCAGCATCCAGGACTGTAAAAACACAGCCTTAGGACTTCGAATCACTAAGTGCGCTCCTCCCCAACTTACCAGAAGATCCTTCTCCCTCCAGTCCCAAAGGGGAGGGGCGCTCAGTATGGCTTGCTGTCATTCTTAGAGCGCTTGAGCTGCACTTTCAGACGCTTCATGCCAATTTGAAAGCCGTTCATTGACTGGATGGCAGCCTGTGCAGAGACAGGATTGTCGTAACTTACAAAACCTGGGAAAAGGAAAAATACATAATTATAGCATGCTCAGATCCCAAACAGACAAGTGGATAAGACTCTCTGCTACAAGAGCTGCGTGTACCCAGGTTATCTCAAGGTAAACAGGTATGCGTGAAGTGCCATTTTCAAAAGCTCATAACTTCACTAGATCACTCAGGCACTTCGCAAAGATTCCTGGCCAAACTGTAGCTTTCTATCACAAGCCACTTTGGCACAAGAGCTGTTTAAAAAAAAAAAAAAAATAGCACTACAGTTTTTTTTCTAAACAAACAGGGAAAGGTTTTTCCACCAGTCTCCTCAGATTCAAACATAGCTTACTGATTTTTTGTTCAAACTTCCCCAAAACTCATCCTTGCGGAGAGACCAAACTTGGAAATTTTCAGTCCAAAAGATGAAAACTTTGCAAAGTTATAAATAATTGCAAACAGGAGCTCAGCATGGAAATTTTCATGTAACCTTAACTATAGCTATTGACCATGTTCCAGTTATGAGAACAAAAACTGATTTATTGGGCATAACTGAAACCTAGCTGATAACTTTTGTAACAGGAATGTCAGTATAGGCAAGATAAAAGGGGAAGAGAAGTGGCGTTGTATGTTAGAAATATTTACATGCTGAGGCACTACGATTATACAAACAATAAGTATGTTGGTAAAATTCTTTGAATAAAGCCACAATGAGAAACAGTGGGCATTTGCTAGAGACCCCTAAGAGTAGAGTCTAGGAGGGTGAAATGAGCCAGCTCTCAGGGTACCTGAGACCACAGGATACTATACTCAGAAAGGCTTAACTACAGAGATCTCCACTGGGTAACAAATACACCTAGCATGTTTCAAAGAGGTTCCTTAGTTATTCAGGGAAAAACTTTACGATCATAAAAGTAGATTCCAACCAGTGGAGAAGATGCCTTGGAGAACCACAGTATAGAGGCACGCATGCCAAAGGCGGCACGCGAGCTTATTTTCAGAGGCACTCACACTGCCCGGTTCCTGGCCACCAGTCCGGCGGGCTCTGCATTTTAATTCAATTTTAAATGAAGCTTCTTAAACATTTCAAAAACCTTATTTACTTTACATACAATAGTTTAGTTATATATTATAGAAAGAGACCTTCTAAAAACATTAAAACGTATTACTGGCACGCAAAACCTTAAATTAGAGTGAATAAATGAAGACTCGACACACCACTTCTGAAAGGTTGCCGACCCCTGGTATAGAGGAACTGACAGGGAATGCATGACAATAGAGGAGCTTTGATATCAGTGAGCACAAACTACATCCATAATAAAGAATGGGTGCACACAGAATCCAGCAGTATAAAGGGACTAGATCTCAGAAAGAAGTCTAGGAAGCTGTAAATGAAAGAAAGTGTTAAAATCCACCAACATGGAAGATGGCTGGGTAATTGAAAGACATGATACCTCAGGCAAAACAGACTATAACTTTGTTGAAAAAATAATATAAAGTAAAAGCAGCATCCAGTGTGGTTTCATGAGCAATTATCTGCAATCTGAATTCAAAATAAACAAAGTACTGGAAAAGGAAAAAAGAGGGTGGCAAAGAAAGAAGTTTACAAAAGTTAATTAAAGCTGTGAATGGACGGGGGAAGTAAGGGGGGCCAAAACATAGAATGAAATATACTAACCGGGGGGACTAAGGAGAATAAAAATGTTCTTACAGATATATAATCGGGTAAGTAGTACTTGGGAGACATTAAGTGTATTAAGAAGTGAGGAAGGAGATGAAAATTACCCTAAAATAGCCAAGATAATTAACTTCTTTTTAAAGTTTGCCTTAGAAAAACAACAAGTAAGGACAATTGGGAAGTAAGAAAGATATATAGCAACAGATACTGACTAAAAAAAATAAGGGAATACTAAGAAAGCGTAAACATACTTAAGTTGGCGGGGTCAGTTTAGGTGCATCCAAGGATTTAGTGGAACTAACCAAAAAATTATCAAACCACTCACTTATTTTAAAGTATTAAAGGTAACTGGGGAGAGATGAGAGAAAATAAACATAGTCCCAATCTTCAAAAAAAATGAAATAAGAGGTATCCTATTAATTAGCTTCCTGTTAAGTCTAAAATTCTATCCCTACTAAAATAATAGAACAAATATTAAAAGAAAAAACATCGCTAAGCATTTAGAGGATAATGGTACCATAACAACAAAAACAGCACTGTGGATTTCAAAACACAAATCTTGCCAGACACACTTGTTTGGCTCTTTTAATAGGATTACAACATTAGTTGACAGAAGTGCAGTTTTAGATATTTATTTTGATCAAGCAGACATTTTAATCAAAATAAATTAAAATAACTTGAATATGAACAATAACATGCACAGAACACTAGCTGGCTGAAAATACTAAAGTACTGAGTTGGGGAAATATTTCATGGAGTACCACAAGGAATCTGCTAGTTCTGGACTTGCTAAACATCTTTGCTCATGATGTAGAACAGAGAGCAACTAGGACATTATCGATCTGGAAGGAGATAGAAATACCAGTGAAGACAAAGGAAGATACAAAAGGGATATAGAGAGGATAAATATGTGGGCAGAAAACAACAAAATGTGATAGCTTGGGATAATGCAGATAAGCACATCCTTGTAAAAATAACCAAAATCACAGTAATTGAAAAGAGAGGGAAAAATCAGGGAAACAGTACTACTATGAGAGACTCAACAGCACTGGGGGACATGAAATTAGACACAAGTTTCCAAAGCAAAAATGACCAGTGCAAATTTTGGGTTGCATACTACAGTCATCAAAAGTGCAGGGAAAGAGTAGTCCCAATTCCCTAAGGTTCTGGTATGACCATGCACCTCATTACCAGAAAAAAATATCGACAAATTATCAGGAGTTCAGAGACTAGAAAAATGAGGAAAAATCAACAGAACTATACACAAAAAGCATCATGTTAAGATTGCAGAGTTAAAAAGACCATGAATTAGGATACACAACAAATAAGGTTCCAACAACAATTTATTTGACCATACCGTACATCCTGCATGTTTTATGGAATATGTTTAAAGATACAGTTTATATGAATCTCTATACATTTAACTAAGAAAAGAAGAATGGAAAACAGTATGTATGTTCAGTTTAGTTGAGTTAACGTTGCTGGTGGAATCTTAACCTTAGTATTTCCTGGCTTTATTATTTTAACACTGCAAGTTCAAATTTGCGTAACTGCAGGGTTGTTTTTTAAGAAAATCAGAAAATACTAAACAGCTTTGCTTTATAGTGTTAGACTTCACACAATCAAAATTAGGCTTTGAAATTCAATCTGGGCAATACCCAGATATCAGAGTGATTGGCATGGTATAAAAAAGCCACAAAATAAATTGCCTCCTTTGCTGCTGCTATTTATTTGATTGGAGGAAGTATTTTGCAAGTTGAGTTAACAGGGGAGCATTACATTTGTTTATGCTGGAGGGCTGGATGAAAAAGCAGTGTATGTAGATTGTTGTAGAAACACCTTGAGACTGCAACATCCATTAAGCTTTTTTCACACTCACACTGCTCTAGTCTCTATTATTAAGGCAGGATCTGAAAGAATTTTGCTGTGCATATTTCAGTGAGATGTTCACAATCTCTGCAGATTTTCCCAGGGCCCTGCTCAGGCCAGGCATAGAGAACATGCAGCGATGCCACAAAATGAGCAAGGCTCTATTATGTTCAATGTAGACTTAAGCATGCTCAATATCATCTGCTAAGAAGCGATAATATTTTCTTCCAAATCTAAGCTGCAGCAAATTCTGAGGGAAGGCTTTTCCTCACACTTCGAACTTCAACCACTAATCCGGCAGTTCTGTTCAAAATCAGGATTTTCCAAAGGACCAGATTCTTTGCCACCTTCTACATAGGAAAAGTGGTTCCATCTCAATTAAAGCTTTAAGGAGTTTGGCTGAACTTTAAAAATATCCCCTTCAGAAAGAGACCAAGTATTGGTAATTTCAGTATGAGATGAATGTTTCACAAAGATATGTTTGATAAGACAAGAAATTATAATGGAAGCTATATTGCAACCTTAATAATGGATGTAAGTAGATTGCTTGGCTAACCAGTAACAGGCAGGATGGTACCATAACAACAGTCTACAGATTTTTCAAGGTGTAAACACTAATGATGATGAATTATTTAGGGCAGTACCTTGTGGCATAACTAGGAGTAATGGGATCAAATTTTAAAAAAGGAAAATTCAAGGTATCAGGAAAACCTTCCAGATGGTGAACTGTATTAGGCTGTGAAATAATCTCTTAATGGAAATGAAGTAACGCACATCACTTGCTCAAAACTAGACTGGACAAAGCACTAGAGAAGAGACTATGAGGAACAATCTGTCATTTGCACGAGTAGGATCAGCTACAGTTATCCCAATATGCAAAGGAGGCCCAGTAAATAACAGAATTGAGGACTCTACTATAAGTAGGGCCCTACCAAATTCACAGTCCATTTTGATCAATTTCACTGCCAGAAGGTTTTAAAATTGGTCAATTTCATGTTTCAGGTGTCTACATCTGAAATTTCACAGTATTGTAACCATGGGGGTCCCAACCGTAAAGGTACCCAGAAGTGGGTTTGATCTCCCCCACACCACTCTCTGAGCTGCCATGCAAGGGAAGGACAAGTCCTGTATCTCCCCAGTCCAGCAGGGACTTACAGCTGGGATCTCCCTGGTTGGGGGTGCTTCCAGGAGTAAGGGGAGGCACTTGGAGGTGGGTCTGATCTCACCCCCGCCCCGAGCTGCCATGCAAGGGAAAGACAAGTCCTGTTCCTTCCCAACCCAGCAGGGAGGTGCAGCTAGGAGCCCCCCAGCTGGGGAGCTCCCAGGAGCAAGGCAATATTGGACCCACCTCCACAAGTCTCCGCCAGTTGAAGGAACCTCCTGGGCTAGAGCTTTCTGCAGCAGGGGGAGGCACTCGGAGGTGGGGCTGATCTTCTCCTGAGAGCAAGAGTGGCCATGGAGGGGAAGGACAAGTCCTCTCCATCCCCCCAGCCGGGACTTGCAGCTAGGAGCCCCTTAATAGGAGCACTCCCAGCCGCAAGGGGAAGATCAGATTTCACGGGGAAGGACTTATTTCACATTCCATGACATGTTTTTTCACAGCTGTGAAATTGGTAGGGTCCTAACTATAAGAGTTGCCCACACCCACATTACTCCATCACCACCTCAGGCTAGTGGGGTCTGAAGGCCAGGGCTTTCCTAGACAGACTGACTACTGAGGTCAAAGAATAAAGAAAAATACCATTGCCTATCTGACCACTGTATGCAACTGTCCGCCATCCCTCCATGAAAACCTCCACCCAACTTATTTTCTCCCAGAGAATGGCAGTGATATATCTTATCATTCTTCACCCCCTGCTACTGACAGTGACTGGAACCAACATACCAAAACACTTGCTTAGATTGGTCTGCTTGTCAATGAAAACCTTGGCGGAGACGACATTCCCAAATGGCATGAACATCTGCAGCAGGTCCTGGTCCCCAAACTCCTGGGGGAGGTGGTAGATGAACAGATTGGCTCCCTCTGGACCTTCAAAACATCCATCGATTAGAAACACAAATTCAGCAAAAGCATGGGAGTTTGGGCCCTAATCTCAAAGCAGAGACCAAGAGCCATTCAATATAATTAACTTTGCCCTCTCCTCCCCGAGAAAGCAGTAAACAGGACCATCTTGATTTCAAAATAAAGCAACATGGTCTGTTGCTGGGATCAAATATTAAAGTGATTTTAGCTCCTTCCCCACTGTCTTTTCTCTAATTACTACACTTCCTGCATCACACTGAAGTCAACATTGGCTCAGCACCACAGATCTCGTTTGCTGCTGCATGGGAGACCTATGGGTATGAATCAGCCCAGGGTGCTGACTAAAACAAAACAGGTACTTATGCCAAGTCTCCAGCATGAGGAAACCAGCCAAACTGAATATAAAGACTAAAATACTCCTGATATCCTGTATATTGGCAATGGCCTAAAACTCTCAGGTCCTGTTCCTTGCCTCTGAGTCAATCCTCCTCATTCCATCTGCTGCCCACATCACAGTCCCATAGTCCTCATTCTTTCACAGTCTTTCACTCTACATGCTAAATTAATCCAGTATTTGAAGTGTCAAAATACAAGCGACAGGGACTGTTCAGGGTGGTAACAAAAGGAAGAAATTCAAGTAATAAAATGAAATTAAGAAAATAAATATCCCTGATAGTGACACGTATCAGGCTGTGGCGACACCTCCCCCCAAAAGAATGTTTAAAACTGAACAAAGCACCAGAGAAATCAATTATATGGAACAATTCTGCAGTGGTCTCCCCGAATGGAGGAACTATAAGAGAATTCTCACTCTAGCTTCTGTGATTCTAGGAAGGCAAATGCTGTGCATGTGGTATGTGTATAAGGCTCAGGGCTTACCCTTCCTCAAACCCCCACTCAAGCACTCAAGTCCTCTGCATAACTTCCCACCTACCTTCTTTTTGACTTCCTGCTGCACCAATACTCTGTTGTGTTAACAGACTCTGGTTGTAGAGAGTGGGCAATGCGGCAGCAGCATATTGCTGAATCCCAGAGTACGCCTGAGTAAGGGCCTCCATTGTGCTACCCGTGCCATTTGAAAGGCCACCGCTGCCAAGTCCACCATTTAAGGCTGCCATCCCTATGCAAGAAAAGAGAAATGAAGATTTAATAATTGAGTGGTATGTCTGAGTCGATGCTAGTCAACTTTCAATACACTTCACTGCTGTCAGAAACAAGCAACGGAGAACAGGCAGGGATAAACAGAATAGCTTATCCAGGAAGCAGTGGCACAACTATAGGAATTATAATCAGTCATTTTCCCCTCCCCTCACTACACAGAGCTTACCTGCTAAAGAGCTGACATTGAGGCCTGCTGTAGCACCTGCTAACGTCTGCAGCGCTCCAAGAGAGGCCATTGGGTTAACAGAGGAGCTGCTACTCGAGCTAGGTGAGGAACCTGCTATTAAAATTAGATAATTAAACACCAAACAATAACTTCTGCCCTTTATCATTCAAATCCCTTGTTAACCCATTTTTACTGCAATGCTAGTAACTAGTAACAAGTAACTAGTCAACCAATAATGACTAGAGCAGGGCAGTTGAGGATAGTTTACATTAAAAAATGAACAAGCTATGACCAATCAACCCACTGACTGATGTGCATGTAGGAGGAATCCCTTTCCCGCATCTTTTAACTGTTTTTGTCTTTTCATAGCAAGAGCTCTTTGGGTACAGGGACAGGGATTGTGTGTGTGTACGTGTGTGTACACAGTACCCAGCACATTTTGGATGCTACTTAATATAAAATAACAACAACACTGTTAATAATACATTCACTGCAGAGTATCTAAGCCAGGCCTGGATGCAACCAAAGCAGATAACCAGCTGGGGTCTCCACCCGAATAATATAAAAATCAGTAGTGCTGCAATGTGGAATAAAATAAGTATCCGAGACTGTATTACTATCAATCACATGCAAGATGAGAGAGAGAGGTCCTGGAGAGATTAAAGAAGGCTCCAGTCAGACTGAACACAAGGTTTTCCCTTACAGATAGAGCACAGGGAACAGATGCCTAGAATCTATTCTGGCAACTGAAATCATTTTCCACTATGGAATTCCTACTGCAGCAGCTGGGGCTGAGGTCAGGGCCAGGAACAAGTCAGAGAACAAACATCTCCAACACAAACGTTATCCTCCTCCATCACAAGAGTGTGATTGCTAATTGTCCTTTTAAACAAAGAATCAAATAGATTATTTATTAATCAGGCGTGGTCACTAACACACTCACAGTCCACACTGAACCCAGTTCAACAACAGATAGAGTTAGTCACAACAAACTGGATAGGGCAGCTGATAGGAAGCACCCTGTCTCTTTCAGGTCAGTAGTTTCTGAAAAGAGAGATATTTCCAGGGGAATAGAGGTTCAAACCATAGGTCATCTGTATAGGTCTCAGCACTGGTGAGAAAGAGGAATTATTCCCTGTTATTATAGAGGCATCTCAGAGCCACCTCTTTGGATGTGACAGATCACAAGCGTACACAGGCTGACAAGCATCAGTGAGCAATAAGTGCTGGGACATTTTAGCATATTCTGCTCAGTTAATTCTCTTATGTTTCTATTGTACCTCAGCCAAAATGTTCTCAATGTGGTTTACATACTATTAAAGCTGGTTGAAGTTTTTCAAATTTTTGAAAAAATATTTTGTAATTGTCGTCACTATTTTTCATCCAAATCTATTCTACACAATTTATACATTAATAATTTCACCTGTAATCTGACACTTAGCCACTTCTGGGGTGGTATATTAGCTATTTAATAGGGTACAGCAAAGTTACAAAACATTTTAGGGCAGAAATAAGGAATCCTGTAGTCAATAAAAACTATAGGGGAACAAAGGAGACCAGAATTTTAAAATCTGGATTTCATTATAGCTATGATACCTGGTCAACAAGACTACTCGTTATAAAAGTTCCAGAGAATCTTTGGAGTCTAGTTAGAAAAGACGGTTACTCACCGTTGTAACTGTTGTTCTTCGAGATGTGTTGCTCATATCCATTCCATTAGGTGTGTGCGCGCCGCGTGCACGATCGTCGGAAGATTTTTACCCTAGCAACACCGGCGGGTCGGCTGTGGAGCCCCCTAGAGTGGCGCCTTCATGGCGCTGAATATATACCCC